GCTTTTTCTGTTTCCCTAGGTTCACATTTAAATCCTTAAGAGTGCAAAAGAAAGAAAACATACCCTCTGTCTCCCATTTCATCCCATTTATAACTTCCAGTGGGAAAAAGAGAATCAGACTGCTTTAATCAGAGACTGTTTTCTAGGCTGGTATCGCCTCCAAATTAAAATTTAACTACATCCCAGTGAGAATTTGCCTGTGTAGTTGTCTTTACTCCTGAGCAGGCTCACCAGATAATTCTCTCACATGACAATTGTCTAGATGGCCGTCTTTCCAGCTGTGGAAGGAGGGAGTGACATGCAACAAAAGTCTCCTCTGCACAACTGGGTGCTGCAGTTTGGCGACTAACCCTCCATTTTCTCAAAAGAACCGAAGAGCCACCTCCTGAATTACATAAGCATCCTTGGGAAATTCATGGAGGGTGGCCAGCCTGACAGCACACAAGCTATTGCTGGGCAAAATTCCACACAATGCCTTACAGAAATTCAGATGGATGGATATATAGATGGGTGGATGCATGGATCAAGGATGGATGGATGGATGGATGACAAATAGGCAGACAGGCAGATAGACAGACAGACAGAGAGATAGATAGATAGATAAGATAGATAAATTGGGATGGATGGATGGATACAGAAGTTAGAAAGTGTGATATTTGGGCATCATTCACATTGAGATACCCTATTTCTGACTGAATACTCCTGAAGTCCTCAGGTCTTCAATAATCAGCCTGCAACAAAAGTATATTAGTTAGTGACATCAATTATATTGAATGGAGCCCTGAAGTACCAACAATGATAGTTATTCAGACGCAGGTGCCCTGTATAACCTAAAAACAGAAAGTACTATCCCACTGTGATCACTAGGCAAGGTTTGATGTCATGTGTCCGTGTATCTATGTGTATAGGTGCTATATGTGTATATACACTCAAATACATATAGACCCACACACATGCCCCTAAGTTGCTTTTTAAAATAGTGTCTTCCCATGAGGCCCTGGGAACCTCCCCAAAATACATCTCTCTCAAACATACAAAATGTATTCATCTTTTAAAGAATCCTGACTGTCTTCGACCTCATAGCTTTTTCAAGAAGTAAAGGCATGTTCTCTGGATTATCTAGCACCTTAAGAGATAGACTAAATTGGAAAGGAGTTTAAACGGTTGAGAAATCTTGATAAAATGACAACGGTCTGCGTGCATCAGGCCTAGAGTATGTTCACGCTGACCATATACACAGTCTTTTCCCTCAGCAGTCACCTGACTTCTGATTCACCAACTAAAATGTCTTAGGAAGGTAAGGAAGGTGTGAAGGGAGTAGGGAAAAATCATTTGAGAAAAGTAAAGGCCTGAGAAAAGCCTGGAATTTCTTTCTGTTTGTTGCTTTTTAACAACTCACTAGTCCTTTTGGACATTTTGAAAACAGAATTTTACAAGAAGTCATGAAAGTAAGACAGAAACATTTTACAAATACATATATTTGTCTGCATTGTTTATTCCATCATTTAGATATTGTGGGGTTTTGATGCCTGTAAATGAGTATCTTAGCCTCCAGAATTCTTATTTCTGGAGTATACTGGGAGAAACTGGAGGTGAGCATGTCAGTAGACTAGCTAGGCCTTCCCTTTTAGCACACCGACTATTTCCCAAAGACAAATATGAAACCACCATAAGTTAATATTGTATACCAACCAGTTTAGTATCATATCATCAACAAGATTTTACAGTATAGATAAATATACAGACATCTATGTCTATGTATATATATGTGTATATATGTGTATATCTATAAATATATATGCACACATATACATATATACCCACACACATGCCCCCTAAGTTGCTTTTTAAAATGGTTCTAGATATTGCTTTTTTTTTTTAAAACCAAACTACCATAAAGAACACAAGACATCCATTTTCTAGGACCAGATCTTCCCAGAAGATTTTTCTCTGGTACATATTCCATTTACTTTACCCATGGAAGGAAAATGGCTAGAAATTGTTCTTAATGCAAAATTTTAAAAATAAAAAAGCTAGAGACCAACATATGGAATATTAAATCAGGTTAAGTCCAGTAAGATTACAAACAGCCCTCCAAGAACAGGGAACCTAAATGCCTAGGGCGTTCACACTGAGCACTGAATCTGGGTGATGGAGAGAATAGAGAGGCTTCTCTAGCAGACACTACAATGGAAGGTTGGGCCTTCCATTGTGAAAGAAGGAATGCCATGATCTGCACAATCAATCTTGGTGCATTTTATGCAGACTCAGATGGTGTCCTTTCTCCACCTGCTAGGGATTGGCAAGAACGCTGGCTAAAGCAATAAGGTAAGAGACAATCATTTTTAAATGAATTTCAAAGTTCTTGTCTGTTTAAAAACCTGTAACACACTGAATTCAGGACAATGACATATACATAATACATATTTATATATGTATATTATTAATTTTGGTCTCTATTCCAACATATCCCTTCCCCCAAGACACTATCTTTGTAAGTATAGATAGCCCTCTAAGTCATACACAAAATTCTAAGGCACAGAAAAGGAAAATGGTTACCACCTAGAAGGTAGCCCAGAAAGCATCCTGGCAATCTGATATATTCAACATGGGCAGTATCAAGTTTTTATTAATAAGGACAAAAGAGATGGCTTCCACTTGCTGCCACGTGCTGTTCCCTCAGACTGCTGAGAATCCTTCAGCACAAAGTCCTTTTACATATAACCTGCCATTTATGAAGGAAGCACCACATTTAGCTCCGCCTTGATATAGCCAATAAGTCCCCTTTTGGATGGTAGAACCAAACTAGTACCCAAAGAAATCAAAAAAGCAAATCTGAAAAACACATTATTTGATAGATAAAAATCAGCCAACCAGGGAATATGGAAAAAAAAAAAAAAACGTGGGGAGAGTGGGAGGATTGTGAGCTTAAAACTTCACACCAACAACCCTAGCTGCCTTCTTCGTCTGCATGGGTCTGGGGTCTGGGGTCTAAGAATCTTCACAGAACAATAAGGTGGGAATCAAGAGAACCCCTGAAAGGATTAGAACGCTGACAGGGTAACCATTTTCTCTAGCTGGCTCTACTGTAGGCCATCTTGTTCCTACAAATGCCAAGATGTCTTCATCTATGCCAGGTGGTGCCAACACCCATCACTGGTTTGAGACCCATGTCCCCTTGGTCAAATGACCCGCAACAAAGAACCTGTCAGGCAAAGGGTTCCGCGATGCAAATGAGGAAAGCAAAGCCCCCTCCCTCCCTCCCGGTGCAGCAGTGGTTAAGGGGGGGGAGAACAATGGGGTGGGGGTGGGGGGATAATAGCAGCGTCCGTTTAAAAATATTTAATCTACAATTTTCCCTGGCAAAAGGATGAGGTTTGGGGGGGGGGGGGGCGGGGGGTTGGAAGGAGGATTCTTAGTAAATAGGAAAAATCAGAACGGTGATGCTAGCCCTGGCGGGTGGGGGAGCGGGTGGGGGGGGGGCGGGTAGCTGTCATCCGTGTCCACGTCTGTTACCAGGAGCACCTTTAGGGCGAACGCCTTTGTTCGGCGGGTGGGTGGTGTAGAAGATGCAGAGATCAGATGGGACTGACTGCCCGGCCCTCCACACCCTGTTCTCTGGCGCATGCGCGAGGCCAAGACAAAGGAATAGGTAATTACAGTCCCGATTCATTCATTTTGCCCGCAGTCCTGGAGTTCTTGTTCGCCCGGGCTGTACGGAGTGGGGTATCCACTCACCCCTCCTAGCAGAAGCCCACCTCGATGCCACGGGGAGCGGGTGGCCTTGGAGACCGAGGTGCGCGTGTGTCACCCCTGCGCCGGGCGTTAACGCGTCCATGTGCGCCGTGCCGGTGTCCGCGCCCTGACCACTCCCGGAGCCGAGGCTGCGCCCCGAGCTCGCTCCCAGGCGGAAACGTCTCGGGGGGGGGGGGGGGGGAGGAGAAGAGGATGCAGGGGGGGAAGAGATCTGGACCGAGCCAGGCGTTCGATGAATATTCATGAATAGCCTGTGTGCTCGGCGGCGGCAGCGCATTGTGCGCGCGCCCTCGGACCCGGGGCTCTCGACATCTTATTTATTGTTTATTGATTATTGGGGGGGGGGGGGTGGAACGGGCCAGGAACCCCAGTCCGCTTTCAGGGTTGGCGCCATAGGCAAAGGCGGCTGAACTCCCCCTAACACACACACCCCCTCCAAACCCTGTGCCCGCCCCCCTCCCACCCTACCCACACCGCTGGACTGCGCCCCGGCAGGGCCGCGCTGTCACACCCGCGCTCAGCCCCCCGCCCACCCCCCACCCCACTCCGCCCCACCCCCAAGCTGGGGCGGCCCCGGCCGAGCGCGGGGAGGGGGGCCACAGGCTAGACGGAAAGCCGCCCGCCCGGGCTGCCCTGGGAACCTCGCGTTCCAAGGCTACCCCCAAAATCCCGATCGCCTAGCCCCGCGGGTCAAGGAAATCCATCTGCCAAACCCGCTAAGTCCTTCCCTCGCCCTGCGGGTCGAACCCCCGCCCCCCGCTTCCCGGTTTCCCCCCTCGCCTCACCCCCTTCCCCCGCCCCCACCCTCCATCTTTGAACGCTGCGCCCCGACTCTCACCCAGCGCCTTCTTCCCGGTGGCGATCGCTCGAGGGAGAGAAAAGCGCGGCTCAGCCCACAAAACCCGCACCGCTGGGGCTCCGGGGGCTTCCCGGAGTCCGCGGCCCGCCTTTCCCGCGGTCCCCAACCTTCCCTCCCAGACACGGATCCCCAGCCCTGCCCTCCCCCGCCGCCTCCCCACCCCACGGGTGATCGAAGCCGCCCGCCTCGGGGCGACCCCCCGCCCGGACCCCCCAAAGCAAGCGCCACCGAGCCCTCGCCGGGGGGAGGGGGCAGCTGGACTCCGTCTAATCCCGGGAGAGAATCCGGGGGTGGGGCGGAGGCTCCGGGGACCCCGGCTCCCGGGGGCTCCGGGGATGGGGCGGAGGCTTCGGGGGGCCTCGGGGCTGCCGGCGCGCGTCCTTACCGGCTCTGGGTGCCGGTGCCGCCCCTGGGTGCGCTCAGTGCCGCCGAGGGGCCCGGGTCGCTGGCGTGGTCCGGCCCGGTGCCTGGCCGCGGGCGGAGGCGCTCTCCCGGCTCGACGGCGGAGCCCGGAGCGAGGAGGAGCTGGAGCGCTGCCGCCGCCGCCGTCGCCGCTGCCGCTACTGCCGCCGCCGCCGCCGCTGCAGCCTCTGCATTTCTCGGGCTCGCGCCCCCCCTCCCCTTCCCGCCCGCGCCCTCCCCCTGCGCGCCCGCCCGCCCCGCCCCGCCCCGCCCCGCCCCGCGCAGACCCCGCCCCGCGCGCCGCCCGCCCAGCCCCCGGCCCCCCCCCCACGCCCGGCGAGCCGAGAGCCCCCCCACTCCGGTGCGGACTCCCCCGTCCCCCGTCCCCTCCCCGCCCCTCCCCTCCAGCCGGGCACCTGGCCTCCCCTCGGGGGTCGGCACAGCCCCCCCCACCGCCCCGCCCGCAGGGGCTGACAGTGGACTCTGGGCGGGTCCCCCTTCCTCCCCCCCCCCCTTCCTTCCTTCTCTCCCCCTCCCCTCTTTTTCCCTCCTCTTCCTCCCTTCCTCTCACGGTCTCGTTCCAGTATTTGGAAGGAGAGAATAAGAACGGCGGGGCTCCCTCCACGCCCCAGGGACTGGGGAAGGGGTCCCAGCCCAGAACGCTCTCTTGGGCCCCCCAGGCCGCCGGGTCTCGGCATCGGGCCGGCGGGCAGAACTTGGGGTGCCCCGGTGGCGCCCCTCAGGGCCGACCTCGACGGGGTGTAGGGTGGCCCCGAGGTCTGGCGCGCCTGGACCGGCGGCTCCGCGGACGGGGCGCGCAGCTGGGGCGGCGCCCGCGCGCCCCCCGCGCCCCCCGCGCGGCCTCGGCACCGCCGGCCTGGGCCAGCCCCGGACGCCGCCGTTTGGGGAAGCGCGACGGCCCGCCGGGTCCAGCGGGAGGGCGGCGGCGGCGCCCCTCCGAGGACGCCCGGGGACCGGGAGACCACCGAAGGCGCCCCGGCAACGGCCGCCGGGGGCTGCGCCCGTCTCAGGGCCGACGGTCCGGCTGCGGCCGGCGGCGTCGGGTCCCCGGGCTCCCGCGCAGCGCCGCCCGGCGCGGCACCGGGACGCCGGCTAGCCCCGGGCTTGGGGAGACGCGTTGGCCGCGCTGACCGGCTAGCAGGAGGGCATAGAAAAGACCAGACCACCCGCGGTGACACCGTTCACCACCGCGGCTGCTGCCGCAGACAAAAGCCGGGTCTGCCGTCCCGCACACCGCTCGGGCAGCGGGGCTCGCATTCGTGACCTGCGGGCGCTCCCTGGCGGCCGGCGGGTGGATCTCGCCTTCTCCCCGTGGTTCCCGGCGGCGCTGCGGGCCGGGTCTGCACTCGGGACCCCGGCCTGGGTCCGCCACGCGCGGGGCCTCCGGACTCGGGCGACGAAACGCCACCGCGCTCCGGGGGCCGGACGCCCGCGCGCGCGCTCCCGCATCGCGTCGGGGGAGGTAAGTCGCCTGGACCCGAAATCAACTTACTGAACTTTAAATCAATCCAAACGACCACGACAGCCCGATTCTACTACAGCAGGGCGTTGCCGCCGAAGTAGTTACATTAATGGATTCCCTATTTGATGCTTCTAGAAACTGCGCCTGAGAACATGGTCAGCCAGCAAGGTTCACACTTGAACCAAAGGATGGTAAAGGGGAGAAATGGGTTGGGTTGGTTTTCTCTCTCTCTCTCTCTCTCCCTCTCTCTCTCTCTCTCTCTCTCTCTCTCTCTCTCTCTCTCTCTCTCTCTCTCTCTCCCTTCCTTGCTCCTTCCCTTCAGCCTCGTTCTGTCTACAGAATTTTACTTGTTTGAATGTCTGTCTCTTCTGTGGCAGAATCGGGTCTAGGAAACGATTGAGGTTTCTAAGGCTATTTGAGAGACACACTGACACGGGCTGTGACAACTAGAAATGCCTCCAGCCTCGGGGACCACGCCAGCATGGAAAATTAGACTGTAAAAAAAAATTAACTTTTATATGACTTTGAGAGATGAGTATTTGTAATTTTATGTTCCAAAATATTTACTGACGTTGTTAGGAGCTGATGAGTTATTCATTTAGTAGTCAGATTTTGTTTTTATTCCGTTGATCACCTTAAAATTAGTCCATGTGTGTTCCTATTGCATTTGAACGATTCACCTGTGGTGTTTTTTTTCTATATTTTTCTCTTCCAAATCAAAAATTCAGACAATGTAAGGATTCATGTGTGATACCTTCAGTGCTTCTGGCCAGATTTTCATGATGGAGAGCAAACAAGCCTTTCCAAGGTGTGATTGGAATATAGATCACAGTCACCATGGCAACTGGAGGCAATAGGAAGAGAACTACGAGTCTTCTCTATTTTGTTTTTCATTAGATTTCTTTTTTTTACTTAAAGAGGAGAGGAGAAGGATGAGGAGGAAGAAACACAAAAGTAAAGGAGGAAGTTTTGGGGAATAGAGCACTTGCCTAGCATTCTAGAGTCCTTGGGTTCAATTCCACAAGTTCAATTCCATTTTTGTTCATTACCACAAAATGAGAGAGAGGGGGTGGGGTGGGGAGAAAGGAATTTGGTTAAAATATCTTAAATGCAACTACAAATCCCACTTCATGATGTTTTAGTCTTGTTTTTAGTAGTTCCTTTAATATCCGTAGAGTATGAGCTCTTGAAAATATCTATAAAGATGCCCTAAGAGAAATAGAGAACGAGCCTGTAAAGCTCTAGATCTTAAAAAAAGAAAACGAGCATTACCTCTCTTGCATGTCACTGGGCTGCTTATAGACTGAGGAACTTGAAAGTGTGTATTAACATACCAATTCTGGTCGTTTTAATCAGCTTCTCATGGGTACGTTCATGAAAGGAGACTACTTTCCAAATAGAATGAATAAACAAAGCCTGGACCATAGCTTATAAACTGTCTTGCTGCAGTGAATCAAAACCTACATTGTGAGGTTATCTATCTGAAAGATAACTTCTTCCAGGATTGATGATTTTTGTGCATGGATTTCCCACAGAATGGCTGGCAACATAAGGAAACCCTTGTCACTTCATTTACAAAAACATCCATGGGCATTCACCTCTTCAAACCGTGTTTGTGTACCGACTGAGGCACCTGCAGCGGGATATTCTACAGATCTCATTCCACTCATCAGCTTCACCCATGATTCCTTCCCTTCCTCCAGCATACCCCACACAGAGGCCTAACATCTTCCCTGGTTTCCCATCCTTTCCTCCTACCTAGTGAAATGAACATTGAGATCTCAAATTAAAAAAACGATCTGCAGGAAGCAAAGCTTGGGGACAGTGGCACTAGAGCTCCATGTCCTTAACATCTTTGGGGGTTACTCTACTTCCCTCACTGAATTAACCCAACCCTTCAGAGACCCACACAGTGAATTTGACAGTGTGTTCAGTTCTGCTGGAAAGTTTGGGGTTGGAGAACCGTTTTGCTATCATTTGTTTACCAAATCTTGTCTCCAAATGCAAGCGCAAGACCAGTGTCGCTATCGCCATGAAAATATGCCGCCCTTTCTCCTTAAACACATTAGCAGTCTCTCATCACAGGAGAACACTTATAAACCATTGCTTTATCTTTCTCCCATCCCCCCTTATTATTTCACCCTCACCCTTCACTAAGCCGAGTGAACGGACTTGCTTTGTGGAAAGCAATAATTCCCTACTACTGCTGAGATATTACTAGAGACCATCTAGCAATCTCCGGACTCATTTCCGGTTGTCACTATGGGAGGGGAGGGGTAAAGAGGAAAGATGCTAACTGAAATCTACAGGGTAAAGACCAGAAAACAAAGCTCAACAACCTATACACAGCCCCCAACCAACAACGATCCAGTCTAAAATGCAAGCCAGCCTGGTTGTGACGCTGAGAACTCTGATTTCGATTAGTATGAAGCTGCCACTCCAGAAATGGCTGCATTTTCATTGATTTTCATTGTGAGTCCTCGGTGCGGAAGCAGCAGCTGCCTCTTGCTGTGGCTTGGGGCATGTCCAGCAGGTTAGCAGTAGACTGGAAGCCCCAGCCTGCCATGTCATGGGCTCCCCCTTTGCCAGGCCTACACGCCCATCCTTCCCCTACTGAATCCAGATCAGTCCCACCAAGAATACCGCCCAAGCTCACTCACTCACGATCCGGGATTTTCTATTCTGGTCCCTATCACTACATGTCGAGGAACTAGGAGAAAATGGCTCCACCCCCTGTTCCCTATTCCCCCTCCTCTGTGAGTACATTACAGGACAGCCGCTGCAGTTGTGCAAACATCTGTTCACCTGGCATGAAGGGGCACCTGGCACTGCACTAGGGCACTTGCCCAGCATGGGAGGTGGATGAAAACAACCTCAGAAGTCACCTGCACCATCGCACACCCAGTTCCCACCTGTCCCTTCGGTCACAGAGGCCTTTGCTACTCAGCAGCAGCATTCCCCATGAAAAAGACACAGAAATGCAGGGAGGCTGATTAGGGGCCCCAGGGCTTAGGGTACAAGGCCACAGTCTTGAGAAACAGTCCTTAATTCTTTGGCTACTTCCTCACCCAGCCACCCCATTAAACCTTCAGAGAACAAGTTCCTTTACAATGGTGCGAAACTATGTTGCAGAACAAATTTTTCATGGAGGCACATTTGGAAGAGGGGAGCCCCCTCGACTTTTGAATGAATGAGATCGTAGAGGTTTCTGCCTTAAATAGTGTGAGCATAAAGTCAGCTCTCGTTCCTTGGGACCAACTGCTTCTACTCTCAGGTAGGCCCTTTACAGCGTGGTAATCATTAAAATAGTTTTACTTCAACTCCAGTACAAAGAATGGTACCCAAAATCAATTGGCAGGTGCACAAGCAAATTACTAAGCAGAATGATGCAAAGGCTTCAGGTTGTTGTTGTTACAAATAAATTAGGGGTTGCTGCTCAGCTCAGACAATAACTACTGTCCAAGTTCAACATCTGCCCAGCTTGTATTTATTTATTGGTTTGTTTATTGATTTGTTTTTGGTGTTAGTACTGGGGATTGAACCAAGAGGGCCTGGGTGCTGTCCCTGAGGTTTTTTTACTCAACGCTGGCACTTTACCACTCGAGCCACAGCTCCACTTTTAGAATTTTTTTTTTAGTGTTTAATTTGAGATAAAGTCTCATGAACTTTCTTCCCGCTTCAAATCTCTATCCCCA